CAAAAGTCATAAAACCCACAAGAAACGAAACATGCACCACCACAAGTCAGTGAGCACCAAAATATAGAGTATTATCTTCTAAACGACACCTCCAAATAGGGATCTGGCGCATGCAGGCATCGGCGATGCAAGCAATAGCTAGAGGTTGAGCAAGGCTTTTACCCAGAGCTTCCACAACCTACCAACCATGATAATGGGCTTGTTCAATTTCTTTATAGATTATAAATTATCGTGGATATATTTTATAAACTTCTAAATGATGTGAATTACTTTGAAAGAAAGGACTCTTCATCGGTATTTACTACAAAACCTTTTAAAATCAACTTATCAACTTTATAATATTTATATATCTCGTTTATACTATTGAATAATTATCATAAACCCAATTTCACTTATTATCATCAACTATCATAACCATTTTTCTAAAAAATCACAGAATACACGTAGGTGCTCATAGCGCGCCTGTGAATGTATAGACGCACACCCTATCTCTATGAACATCACTAAACTTCATCACTAAACTGGAGGTGTTCTATGAGAAGAGGGCGGCATGGAGGTCTTCAGGCATCCAAACTAAGGCTGTGTTCGGATTCAACGGATGGGAACTAATCCTTCCCGCACGAAAAATAGAGCGGTCTATTAGCATGTGATTAATGAGTTAATAGTATTAATCACACGCTAATGGACTGCTCTCATTAATCACACGCTAATGGACCGCTCCGTTTTCCGTGCGGAGGGAATAAGTTCCTATCCAGCTCATGCGAACACAGCCTAATGCATGTATGGTGGTTGGTTTTTAGAGTAGTTTCTGACTTCCTGTGCACATGTTGGAACGCTTAGCCTGGGTGTCGTTTGGATAGCTATTCGAGCCAACGAATAACCCATTTTTATCCTTTGTATGGCATTAATTCTTGAAATCTCTCTCCTACTAGTACTATGAAAAGAGAGTCATATCCTCCTCCCGTTCTTACCGGTCCCACATTCCAGAAAAAACCATTTACATTTCTAAAAAAAAATCTTTTTTCTGAAAAAACATGCCTTATATGCTCTATTCGTATCAAAATAGTACACTTAATTTAAAACCAATATGATATAGATGAGTATACTTATTTTAAAATGGAGGAAGTAGTTTCATTCTCTCTCTTCGATCTCTCTCATATACCTTAGCGAAAATTAAACATGTCTTGTTTTATTTACAACACTCACATCCCATTCACATCCCATTGTACATGTCTAATAAAAATTATACAACGTATTATTGGCTGTCCCGGTGAAAAACAAACTATATACTCCCTCTATTTTCTTCTGATAATCAGTATTTTTGTTTTGAGTTCTGACAACAAGATAAAAAAAAAAGAGGCATAACCCCGTAACCCATTTTACTCCAGGGCGCAAAGACTGTCCCTGTGTTCCTTTGCATACGAACCAATTGGCCATGTAAACTGGAGAGCTACCAAACCATGCATGTGAAAGCAATTACTGCATGCAGATCAAACAATCAGTGTATGAACCGAACAGCCATCAAGCTTATACATTGATGAAAGAAAAAAAAAAGAACGAATTACCCCCTCAATTATGGAGGTCGATTGAATTACCCCCATAACTGCAATACGGGATATTTGACACCATAAACTTTTGAATCCAGGTTAATTATCCCCCTAACAAAAATCAAAGTGGTTTTCAGCCTACGTGGCAGACACGTGGCGATACGGTCAGCAAAAATAAATAAAAACCAGTGGAACCCGCTTGTCAGCGTTGTTTTTTCTATATCCCCATTGTCCCCCTTCTTTGCTTCTCGGCGAGAGGAGGACATAGCGTCGGCGGCGAGGTCCAGTCCGAATGGAAGGGGAGGAAGGGGGCTGCACGAGCTCGCCTATCCCTAGCATGGCGAGTAGGCGGTCGACGGCCGATAGCTGGGAGGATATGGTGGGGCGCGACGGGGATGGCGTGGTAGGGGTTGGAGATGGTGGGCCATTGGCGAGGAGGGCGTTGAAGACAGCAGAGCAACGGTGAGGTGGGCTTGAGGCGGGGGCTCGTCGATCCCGTGCGTAGGAGCTCGAGTTTGCTCGGGGGACGTCTCTGCTAGCTCATGGAGGGCATCCACCGTCTCATCCAGATCTGGCGGAGAGGCGAGGAGGAGGTGGGAGGTAGTGAAGATGTCGTCGGGCGACCGACACCGATAGCAGCACACCCGTGAAGCTTGGCGTTGGTGAATTAGGTGCGGGAGCGGAGGAACTCAAGGAGGGTGCCCCCGGGGTCGCCAGTGCTGGCTCCATTGTCGCGACAGAACTGAAGCGCTCGTCGTTGACCACAAATACCACCACCTCTAGGCCGCACGCCATCGTTGCCTATCGCACTGCCAAGCGCCGCCCATCGTCGACCATTTTCTTCCCGAAAACGCTGCCGCCGCTCGTGCCCTACCGCTCGCCGCTACTTGCCACCGACCGGAGCCCGCTGACCGGTTCCCCCTCCTCGTCTTGCGCACGTGCTTCCGAGAGAGAGAGAGAAGGGGGGAGAGAGAGAGGGAGAGAGAGATTAGGAATAGGTGAAGAGGAGGTATGATAAGTGGGTCCCATTATTTTTTTTAAAAGAGAACGGCTAACTAGATTGCCACGCATAGGCTACGTAGAACAAAACCATTCTGGATTGGGTTGAGGGGGTAATTCGTCCGGTATTGAAAGTTCAAGATGAGCAATGTCTGGTTTTTCGGGTTAAGAGGTTAATTCGATCGACCGCGATAGTTCGCGAGGTTAATTCTTACTTTTCTAAATGAGAATAGTTTCATCTTGTTTAGGCGCTGATAAAAAGGGAAAGGAGGGAGTCTACATAAAAGTATGAAAGAGCCCAGATCGCATCTTGCCTCTGCCTTCTTACGGAATCTTCAAGTGTGCCACCGTGGAGTGGCGCAGCATCACGTCTCCTTCACCAATTAGTATATACCGCCGTTTCAGGGCAGGTGATTAGGTGTCGCCGGCGATGATAGCCGGTCAGACGGGCATCAGGATGGGAATGGGTAGAGTCGATCCATTTATCCATTAAATCTATTCGTAAATTTGTCCTAACGGATTTTAAGGTCGGTCCAAAAAATATAAATGGATCAAATGGCTCAAAGCATTAGAACCTAAGGTTTAAGAGGTTCGACCCAAAATAACTTCACATGTATAAATATTTTAAAAATTTGTACAAAGTTGCTTCTCTATATAATAAATCATTCCTATAAAATTCAACTAAATTTAACAAGTTTTTATAGTGTGAACGTGAGTTTAAAAATTTTGTGTTCGAGTTTTACACGCATGTAACTAGAATTTTTAAATCTTAGTAATGCTCGTGGGCCCCGTATGTCTAAATGACTTAAAATTTGAACAAAGTTGCTTCTCCATATAATAAATCATCTCTATAAAATTCAACTAAATTTGATATGTTTTTATAATGTGAATGTGAGTCTAAAAATTTCAGGCCCAAGTTTTACAAGCATGCAATAAGAGCTTCTTTTTTTATCTATTAGGAGCGTAGATGATCTATTTATATATTCATAGATAATCTATTGATCTAATGAACTTATAATGGATTGACCGTATTAAACCATAGTACAATAAACTTATTTTATTTAAAACGGTTTAGACTCGATCCATGTCCTACCCATTCCCATCCTGAGACGGGCACGGCACAGGATAAGCTGATAATGTGGAGGCCCCGCGATCTGGCGCCTTGTCGTTGGCTCTTCTCTAATCTTTTTGCACGCTACCTCTGGGCCCCACGGGCAACACGCACGCAGGCACGCGAATAGCGGGCTACGTGGCCAGAAGGCAACCCGATCGCGACGCAGCTGCAGCTGCGCGCACGCGCGAGCTAGGGCCTAGCTACCGTGCAACGTGGCGCGCCGTGCACGGCATCTCCGAGCTCCAATTGCACGTTAGATGGTGATCTCGAAATCTGTTGCACTTCCAGCTTGGTTGCAGCGTGTGCCACCGAAATCAAGCACGGGATCAACCAGCCACTCGTGCTAGCGATCTACGTGTATCAAAACTAAGGAACACGTAGTAGCTAGAGTTAGTAATATTTTTAGCTACACACAGAACACGAGTACTAGTTCGTATTTGTCACTAGAAGAGCACACTTTTTGCAAATTGCCGCCCACGACTATGTCACGAACCGGCCCGTGAATTTTTATCAAATATACTATAACCATTGCTAATGAAACGATAGAAAAAAAAACTAATTCTATACTCTATGTGCTGATAAAGCAGATCTGCTGACTTTAGTTAAGCCAAATCCGCATGCAGCTGATCACCGAGATGCCACGGCGCCGAACCCTTTCCTGCGTGCGTGTACGCAGGGGAGAACCTTCGGCCCCCGGGTTGGTGGGGCCCAGGAGGGGGCGGAGCAGCAAACCACGTCACCCACATGACTAGGCTACCCAGCTGGCCCTCGTGGGAGGCGCGGGTGGACGCGTAGAGCCGCTCCGGTAGAGACACGTGTGCCGGAAGCAACGGGTGACAGCGTGACTCAAGAAATTAAACTATCCGCCACGTTGCCCGGCTCACCCACCCACTCTACACCGGCGCTTCCGCAAGGGACCCAACGAACGCCATTATTCATAGGATGGCCCACATGTCATCCTCATGTACTCTAACAATGATATTTTATTTTTCTCGGAGAATAATGATGATGACGATGATAATAACTATTACAATTATTAAAAGTGAATAAAGAAATATAGACATATGAGAGAATGCGTGATTTTTTTATTAAGGTCTCACAGTTACAATTTAGAGATAGCGACTAAAAAAGTATTTGCTAAATCGACGCATATCTGTGAATCTGTTTACCTGTATAATAACAGATTTTGTTAACGAAACTGCACCCAACTCTGTGGGTACACGAACCGGGTGCCTCGTAGCGAAACAGCCCGCGCTCGGGCCTACCCCGTGTATCACGAGCCGACACGTGTCTCCTGACGTGGTACCCTTTCCTTCCGCGCCGCCTCCCCACTCATCCCCTTCCCCGCAAGGCCTTCTCCCTCCCGTCAAATCAAAGCACCCCGCCGCACGCAGACGAGAAAGGAAGCGCGCCTCAGCCTCAGTACCCACCACCTCCACGCTCGCGCCGTCGGCTTCGTGCTCCTGCGCCGCCGCACCGATCTGCACCGTACGCGGGCGTCGATCCATCCAAGGTACGCGCGGCGCGGCCGATCTCTGCCTCCCTCTCCGTGTTCACGCGCAATGCCCGGCCCCTGGTTCGTCTTCTCTTTCGTTTTAGCACTTCGCCGCGAGGGTGAAGGTTTGTAGTAGCGGAGAGCAGGAGCCAGGAAGCCCAAGCCCTCCCTCGTTCGTCCCTGAAATTTTAACGCGTTTCGTCCGGACTCCGGAAGATCCTCTGTTCGATCTTGTAGCGAGTATATTATCATACTTCTACTGTCGTCGTAGTAGCAATTCACCTCCAAAAAAAAAAACAAAACTGTCGTAGTAGCAGTGATTCAAATGCATTGGTTCGGCTTTCTTTTGCTTCCTGTTGGGTTTAAAAGCGAATCCTATGGCCACACGTAGGAAGCGTGTACACGTTTCTTAAGTTTACTACTAGTATATTTTTCGTTATTTCAAACAGAAATGAAATTATTTATGGGAAAAGGTGAGAGTTGAGTAATTGGAACGCCGATTTTCCCGGTTTCACTATTTGTTAGGTAACAAGTGGACTGTTACGTGTAAAATTATTGCGCTCCATAGGACCCCTGGTTTGTGCGGTTTGGAAGACTGTAAAATTGGTGCCCGCCCTGGCTGCCCTTGTCATCTCAGTCTCAGGTAGTCAGGTGTCACTTGGCCTTGTGCATACGTTGGATACCGGAGCTTTCACCTAGTCTAGTCAGCTTTTGGTTGGAATTGCTTTCAACTGGTTAATCCTGTCCGGTTTGTGGAGTGCTTTGGGGGGGGGGGGGGGGGGGGATGGTGGCTGTCGTAATCTTAGATTAATTTAATTTTCTTGGAGATAGTGTGCTGTACTCTTGTTATCAGTATTGAAAGCACGACTAGATTTTTATGTGAGGATGGTGAAGCACTTCTGGACCATGTCAAATGACTGAACATAGCTACGGCCAGTTTATTTCTGTACTATATATTTTTGAAAATTGCTAGAGGGCTTGAATTTCCATCCCTCCAATTTGTTGCAGGGATTGGTACTCCGGTTCTTTCTCCGGCACACTAATCTCTCACAACAATGTATATTAGTGTGGGTTGGTGTGGAGAGGTGGCGCCCTACGCTGGTGGTAGGCGGGGGTTGGCAAGGGGGTGTATACGGTGGTGTTGGTGTTGGGAGTGGGTTGTGGGGGGAGGGGGAGTAGGGATTCAGATTGGGTGACATAGGGTGAATCTCGACCCTCCAAAACAAATCCAACAGCTTAGATTCGTCCACGTCATCATGAGTAAAAATTTTATTCCCAGTAAAACTTTTACTCCAGGAATTTTACTCCTAGTAAAATTTTTACTCCTGAGTAAATCTGCGAGTAAAATTTTTACTCGTGATGACGTGGACGAATCTCAGCCGTTGGATTTGTTTTGGAGGGCCAAGATTCACCCTATGTCACCTTGTGACATGTCTACCCTATGTCACCCAATCCCGCTAGAGGCGAAGAAGGAGGATGGCGTAGGAGAGACTAGAGATGAGTAAGACGATGAAGCAGTGACGCCGTGATGGCTCACTGGAAAGGAGGAATTTTAAGTGTCGGATTGCTGTACAGGAATGCCTGCACAAGCTAGGTGTGTCTAGTGGTTTTTGTACATGATTGTGCGATATCTATGGGCCTGCAAGAGTTTCATATCTGTGCATTTAGTGAATTATATTTTTTACTGAAACATACTTTTTTGTGTGACTATTTTCAGTACTTATGATATGGTTTAGCATATGACCAATCTGTACGATGAAAATATGCAGGAACTCATAAAAAGTCATGGGAAATGACGAAGCTGTAGTTACTCAGAAGATGGGGAAAGCACCATCGCCCCCTAAGGTAAACGCATATAAGTAGATAACCAAGGCCAAATATGGGCACAGACAACATTGCACGAGCAAGATGTCAAATTGATTATTGGCATTTCTTCTTTTATTTGACAACATAAATCCGCTTTGAGGTTTTAGATGTGCTAGGGCTGCATCAAACAGCTGCGAAGCATGATTTTGTCAATTAGCCACATTATTGACAAGGGGTGGAATCCTTAAAGGTGCCTAAGTAGCAACTGTATTACTTTGCAGGATCATCCAGCCCTTAGTCCATACCTTGATTGGTCAAATATGCAGGTTAGGTGTCTGACAATCTATATTTTCCTGATAACTGAAGTTTGGATTTTCCTTTGAACTGAGTAACTAAATTTAAGGTATCATAATCAACACAGGCATATTACGGCCCAGGGATCTTGCCACCAACATTTTTTAGCCCTGGAATAGCCGCTGGTCATACCCCTCCTCCATTTATCTTGGGTCCTCAGGTTTTTGACTTTACTCTCCATGTATCAGGTGTCATTCTTATCTTTAAGAGTTCTAAGTTATTTCCCTGTGCCTCTACAGCCTCTGGTGCCATCCGCTTTTGGGAAGCCATATGCCGCAATTTATCCTCCTGGTGGAGCTTTTTCACATCCGTTCATGCCCCTAGTAAGCATTTCATTTTGTTCACCTATCTATTTTTCAGAACATTGCATTTAACTAAACATGGAAGGCACCATGGATTTGAGTCAACTATCACGCTTTGGAATTAAAGCGATATCCAATTTGTTAAAATGCTTGCATAAAGCCATGTTAACATGGAAACTTCTCTATGAGCAGAACTAACACGAATGATTTCTGCCGTTCGAAGTATTCATGATATGTAGTTGGAACTTGGAAAACCTATCCTTGCAGACGAATTATCTCTACATGAAAATAAATTCATTCATATATTGCCATTTTTTCTGTAGAAGGAAGCTGGATTTTTTATTTTTTTTTCTTCTGTGGAAGTATATATGTATTTTTAAATCATTTGTTCAATTGTTCTTTTCTTTAATGTCTTTCTTGCTTCACTTGTGTGAACGTTCTGTGCTGAATTGCTAATCGTTTTGCTAGTATCTTAATTATGCTTCTGTTATTGATTGTTTATCTTATATTTTTTATCAAGATGGTGAGCCCATTGAGCATGGAGCCAGCAAAGTCTGTCAACAGCAAGGATAGCTGTTCAAATAAGAAAATGAAGGAAATTGATGGTGCGGCTGTGTCAACTGGCAGTGGCAACAGTGAAAAAACAAGGTGATACAGGATTTTACAAAATGAAAACGATAACCAGATTGATAGTTCAACTTATATACAACTATTATGAGTGACAAACTGATTTCATGTGCATCTGATGCTGCCAATGCAGTGGAGATTGCAGCTTAGAAGGATCCAGTGATGGAAACAACCAGAAGGTATTGTTCTGTAGTTATTTAATGCCATTGAAGATGTTCTGAGCCAGCAAGCTTATACTTAACATGCTGATATATTTCATCATTATTCAGGCAAGTGGAACTCCCAAGAAAAGGAGCATAGATGATAGGCCTAAATCAGGTACTCAATCTTGGTATCATCTGGTACTTGATTTTTATAATATCCAGTTCAATGACTCATCGTGAATTTTGCGGCATTTCTTGTTATTTCTCTAATTGATAACTGAAACATAATATAATCCTCTGTTTAAGTTTTCAGATGATAAGAAGGCCATATATTCTGAGCACTAAGCAACACTAAGAGGTGATTTGGTTTTTGTTTTTCCTTTTCTCCAGGCGTGGAAACTGGTGGAGCTTTAACACCTAATGATAGACCTAGCGAACAAGCAGCTTTGCCAAATCTATGCATTCCGGTTACAGCAATCAAACCAGACGTGAGCACTGCTAGTGACTTCAGAGTTATTGCCACCCCAGTAACTGAAGTGCCAACTAAGGTATGCCAGTTGCAGTTTTTTTTCTTGTTAAAGTGCCAGCAAATTATCATTTAGAAAAGGCGCCACTAACTTCGTGGAGTGAACCATGATCCATACTTGGACGAAGCAATCAAATTTCTTAATGTTTCCACTACCACGACTTCAGTAGAACATCCTTTTTTTTTTGAGAATACAACATCCCTTATTTATTACTGCTGTTATTTTTTGGGATTAATTCTCGAGTCGCTAGTATGGTTTTGCTAAATAGATTGCTGGAGCTCTTTGCATTCTTTTTCTTTTAAAAAAGAACTACACATTCATTCCAGAGAGAAACAGAACAAGACCCGTCCCAGAAGGACACCCTGAGATAGCAACAAAACACCTCACCAAACACCACTGTCAGGACACCTAAATGCAAAGTACCTAGATACTCAATAAAAAATGAGATTCACTCTTGAGATCAGGAATTTTCAGCTTTCGATTCATGGGATCGTTTCTTCTTGAATTAAACTATAGACCTATAATCCTTAATAAATTGTCAGGATGATAAGGAATCGAAGCGCGAGAGAAGGAAGCAATCAAACAGGGAGTCTGCTCGGAGGTCAAGGTTGAGGAAGCAGGTATAATAAGATGCTTAGCTAGTTTTAACTTGTAATGTTTTGTGGTATCCCCTTCAGTATTCCATACTCTAGTAGAAATTTAAACCATACTTGTACAATAATGATATTCTTTCATTCTAACAGGCCGAGACTGAGGAACTGGCTAGAAAAGTTGAGCTATTGACTGCGGAGAACACATCCCTTAGACGTGAAATAAGCAGGCTAACGGAAAGCTCCAAGAAACTTAGATTAGAGAATTCTGCTCTAATGGTAAACATCTTTTCTAACAATATGATCATTGGAGTATTGGAGCTATTTTCATTGAGCACTAGTCCTTTTTTTTCTTCTCTCAAATGCGCCTTGTTTAACAGGAGAAACTAACGGAAACCGGGCCTGATGAAGCACAAGAAGTGCCTCCAGTCAAAACAAAAGCACAGCAAGCTCGAGGCGTCGAAAATTTCCTGTCAATGATAGACAAGACTGGCACGCCGAGAAGCAGCGGGCACATGGATCATGCCATTGCCACGCCCAAGCTTCGTCAACTCCTGGGCTCTGGTCTGGCGACTGATGCTGTAGCCGCAAGGTAATCTTAACGACTTGACCCTCCCGCCGTTCGTGCTCAAACGCAGCATGTGGCCTGGTGAATTTTATAAGCTCAACCTGCCCGCACGATTAACATCGAAGTATTAGGTACGATTTTGTCACTGTATTCGCCCTTGTAAATTACTAGTAGCTGCCTTTTAGACGAGCATTCCAACCGCTCCACCGGGATATGAATGCCCCCCTGGCCGTCAGTTCTTCCCTGAGTTTTTACTCTACTCTCGTAGATCTGTAACATCAGTGCTGGCTCGCGTTGTTCATATCAAACTGATCTCTGTAAATACTGTAACACTGACAGAAAGCCTTCTAACTTTGATCTTTTACCTTTACCTGCTTTTGGATGATCCATTTTTCTCTCCTACGGGTGTAAACGTCGTCTTTTTCTTTGGTTAGTTCGACACATAACATTGTAGCCGATGCGATCAACACCGGTGGTTGTTCGCTTCTGTCCTTGGCGTACGACATGTTCTTTACGGCTTTCTGTTGATACGGCTCTCTATTGATGATCGATAAGATCACACGGTTGCATCAGCGATGATCACTATGCGGTGGCCGGTGGGCAATTACTCGCCGGCGTCCTATGCCATTCGTCTTGTCGACGGAAGCGCTGTACTCCGTTGAAAGCGAGAACAGAGGCAAGGGAATCTCCGGTTGCTGCTCCTGCACCTCCCAAACATCCGCCATGCTGTTGCCATGACTATGGGCATGTGTGAGACAACACTGTGACAGCAAATTCAGGCTTGAAACAACTTGGGCATTCTAACTACTCCTACGTTTAAAACGGTATCAGTATGGCAGAGTGACTCAAGTGCCATGGTTTGTGCCAGCAAATTCAGGCTCGAGAGAGAGGTGCGTGAATTTCGTGATGGTTTTGGTGAGGTCGTACTTGTACGGTGCTGATGAGCTGATCTGACTGCGTGGTTGGATTGACGCATGGTCCAGTGCTGTGCTGTTAGCTTGGGCCCTGCACGGTATTAGGCCGGCTTTCTTTTGACTCGACTAGCACCCGCGTGACCCTTGACTGAATTGGTAATATCGATGCATCCAATTGCTGCAAACGGGTCGGCCGCTAGCTCACCACCACGACCCAGAGTCCGAACATGCTAACCAATTTTCACCTGTCAAGGCCTCAAGGGCTCATGGCAATGGGCAAACAGGCAGGCGCACGCCACGTACGAGTGGAAAATTGTTAATACAGCTTTCATCTCTTAATACAGAAGTGATTAAAGCCATGTTTGTTTCAGCTTAAAATTATTGTAATCTAGATTATTAAATCAGATTACTCTAAGCTGGATTATAATAAGCTGATATAAAATAAACTACGAGTTGTTTGTTTCTCTGGATTATTAGAGGCATCTAAGGGTACTGGGTCTTTAGCCACTCAATAATCTAGAAAAAGCTTCTCTAGAGGAGATTATTAGATTATAATAATCTGACTTATAGATTATAATAATCTAGCATAATAATTTACTTGTTTGTTTCAGCTTACTCCTAATAATCCAGATTATAATAATCCTAAGCTGAATTAAATAGGGCATAAGGAGCGCAACAATACCACTATTATGTATCTTGGCCAAAGGCCATGTTCATTTCTTCTGCAAGTAAAGGATTAAATTTTGTATACTCGTGGCACGCTTTTCAAACGACTAAACGGTGTGTTTCGTGCGAAAACTTTCTATATGAAAATTGTTTTAAAATATCATATTAACCCATTTTTCAAGTTTGTAATAATTAAAACTCAATTAATCACATATTATTACCACCTCGTTTTGCGTGAAATACTTAATCTTTATCTTCATCTTCAGAAGATTCAAACACCACAGTAGGCCATTTCCATTAGTAAAAAGAAAACGGCAGTCCAACATTTGAGAATGATTAAATCTAGAGAATGTCCAATGTTTATATACCTATTTTAAATTCATCCAATTTTAGATAGGAAGATATTTTAAGATTCATGTAACACATGTTTCTCTAACTGTATCTCCTTATTTTCCTATATTGTTGTCGATCGACGTAATCACATTTTCCCTTGTAATCCATTGTCTCTTCCCCACATGCATCGCCTCCTTCTGCCTAGCTAGTGCAAGAGCCTGCAAATGGCACCAGCGAGGCCTACCAAACCGATCTCGACTTACCCCTCCCCCCCAGGCGCCTTTCTCTTGAAGCTAATAAGTGGCAAGGTGCCCTAGCCCCTGTTGTTCTTCGTTGTCTTAGCAACATAAAGTTCATGCCGTGGAGACGTCTCTGCCTCCTAACCTTTTGTAGATATGATGCCCCTGCTACTACCCTTCTCCAAACTCATGGCTTCACTTTGTTGTCTACTTGTGTCCACCACGTCCTAGGCCATCCTCTAAAGCCACCCTTGTTACTTCCTACTACCTTCATCACCTCCTAACCCTCGAAACCCAAACATATAGGTTGAAACATGTGAATATTTAAGGTGACGGAAAATCCAGTAATCTCCTTTTGCATTGTTCACATTATCTAGCCACTGTCTTTTAAAAACATACGAGGTAAAATTGACTAGCGGATATTTATATGCATTTTTAATCACTCCATCTTCTCATGGTTGTTCTCTTTATTTGCTGCTCCGTATGACCCTGCGATAGCTGTGTATCTAGAAGGGCATGGGTGGTCCGATTGATAGAAAAAAATTAAACATCACAAATATAACTATGCCAACATATACAATACATGTATATCTAATAGAATTGGCCAAAAATGCATCATGATATATTACTATCATCTTACAAACATCTTAAAATTAACGTTAAGTAAGAAATTTGACTTGAAGAAGCTTATACGGCTACAAAAGTTTGAAGAAGGTTACCCCATCATCTTATTTCTGAGTTTATTCTTCTGATATAACTGTGGGAGGCAATCAAGAAGCATTCTTCTATGTTCCATATTACTAAAGAAAGATGTAATATTTTCATCTTTCTTCACGTCTTAACAATCCGTAATACAATAAGTACATTTTGAGATGAGAAGAATCCAAAGTAAAAAATTGAAAAGAAGAGTACAAGTCTAGAAGACCTATTCAGCTAATCAATAATCACTTACCCCTTGGCCACTTGCCTTTCTTTCTTGATGTGTCCCTGCACACTGTGACACCGTGCCGTCACCGGCCGGCGCACTCGCGTCCCGCCCTTGCTGCCTTGCTGTCGTCACTTGATCACTATAGGCTAGGCGGCGGGAACGTGTAAATAGGAAACCAGGAAAGGAGTAGCCGAGCAAACCAAGAGGTAGGAGCCCTAACCCTAGTCATGGGTACGATAGATCGTCGCTCAATTGTACGAGATGGGCATGAGGCGGAGCCGCGGTCACAAAGAAGGAGCAGAAACGAATTGACGTCACTTCAACTTTAGTTTTCTTTTTACCATACCTACCTATGCATGTCTTGGGCCGACACATTTTTGGGTGGTCCGGACCATCTTGAAGATCCATCGATGCCCTATGAGATTACTACATATCCTTCAAGTTTCTGACACATTCGTTGTCCTTGGCCGCATATTGCCCCTGGCCACCGTCGAGGTCATGCTTGGTGCCACTGACAAAACACGCCTTGTTGAGCATTGCATCCTCACCACAAATTGCTATCCTTGCCGTCTCTGGTGATCTGGTCAAATCTAGCACCTTTATAGCCCATGTTGACACTCGCATTGCTTTATGAAAAATAAATTAAAATAAAATTATATCGTACATATTATGAAAAGTATAAAATTGGTACTCTTTTTAAATAAACTGATTGATGCAACATGAGTAAAATGCTCCAATGTTTCTTGAAGTTGTATCTTGTATGCAGATGATATAGAGGGCTATGAACTAGTAAAATACACCCCCTTCCCGATGTTTAGTGTCGTAGTATCCGAGTCTTTTTTTTCTTTGGTCTTCTATTTCCCTCCTCTCTTAGCATAAGTCGGTCTGGCTTAATGTATTGTGTAACAATTATTCTTTTCTTCTAATATATTGACGTGTAATTTTTTTACGTGTTCAAAAAAAAAACTAGTAAAATACAGATATATACTTTTAAACCTATTAAAGTAGTGTAAACTACTCTATCCGTTTCAAAACGTAAGAACTTAGATCTAATTTTTCTAAAATATAAAGAAACAATTCATTTGTAGTATATCATATAGGAAAAAACAGTACTAATCATATCGTCATATGCGTGTACAGAGCGAAAATGTTAAGCGGTCGGCCGATGTCTGCACACGCCTGTTCCCACTTGATCGAGGTGGCGCCCGCCGGTGCACGTGTCCGCGCCTCTCGGATTCCGTTGCGACGCTGTCCCCAGCAGCTGGTCTCGCTGGCTTCGCTCCTCGTCTGGAGGCGAGCGAGCGAGCCGGGTCGGCGCTGCGGGTGAGCGACGCATATGGGTTTCCGCCCCGCACGCCGCCCGCCCGCCCGCGCGCCACCTGATTCGCATTCGCTCCATCCGCTTCTTCTCGGATTCCAGCTGTTCCCCCGTGGCCTTTCTTGGATTCCCCCGCCCCCCGGCCCGCGGCTCCCCCGCCCCACGTACCCATGGCGTTGCCGAGGTGGCTCCCATGATGCGCTCTCGCCGCCTCGCCATGTGACCCGCGCGCCACGCCGCTTTTCCGAGACCGAGAGACGGAGAGAGAGAAAAAAACGTAGAGATCCACGCCGCATTCTCCATTTCTCCCCCTCCCGGCTGCAGCTCGCCGTATCCTGCTTTCTTGCCTTGCGGGCGTCGTCGTAGCGTGGTAGGAGTAGGGGAGCCCGGCGCGCGGGCGGGCGCGGGTGGTTGGTGAGTGCGCGCGCAACGCGCAGCAGCAGCAGCAGCGGGAAAAAAAAAAGGCTAACTAAGCTAGGACAGAGGAGAGAAAAGCCGTGGCGCTTTGCGGTCACGAGATTCAGGGGGTGGTTTGCTTTTGCTCGCAAGGGAAGTGTTGGGGGAGCCGTAGACATCCGAACTGTTCTAATGGCGACCCTCTGGGGGGCGGTGGCGGTGGCGTTGCTTTGCGCGATGTATTGGTGAGGCCGGTACTAGGGGAGGGGGTAGTAGTAGTGGTACAAGTGGTGGTTGTCGTCGTCGTAGTCTTGTGGGTTGCGTGCGTGCGTTCGTGCGCGCCAGCGAAGTTCTTGCGACGATCGTGTGGGGTGGGTTCGTGTGCTCTCTCGCTCCTGCCATTGGTTGATGAGCATGGGGCATTACTCCGAGCAGAGGCCGGGGTTCGAGGTGACCAAGGACTGGAACGGCGCCGACCAGGTCATGATCCGGTCGCCGCGGGGGGCGTCCGTCCTGGTGAGTCGCCGCGCAAATTTTCACTCTTCTTTTTGCGGGTTTCTGGCTGGCGATTAGATTAGCTCGCCGGCATTTTATCTCCTGCGCACGCGCTACTCTGATGCGGGTCCCTTGGGTTGATGCGGTGGTTGTAGGTCAGCCTGCACGGCGGGCAGGTCGTCTCCTGGAGGAACGACCGCGGCGAGGAGCTCCTCTTCACCAGCAGCAAGGTGAGGCCTCTGCGTACCGATCCTGCCTCTGTTTCCTGGCAATGTGGTTGTTTCTGCAACTGATGATCGGATTCGTGCGATGTGGTTGGGGAAGGGTTTGGTTTCATCAGGTTTCTCTCTTGTGGATATACGAAGTACTTGCATAATTGCAGCCGGAATGTGCGTGTTCCTTTTTTTTTTTTGCGCTTAGTTGATGCAATTTATGCTGGAGCAACGTCCTTGTGCTGAAATTTCTCTGATAGACATGCATGTGAACTGAAATTCGTCTGTTTGTGATTGGGTAAAAGAAAGGTAGACTTTTTTTTAAAACAGTAGAAGCCTTTCTTTGGGGCATACTGTATAATGAGAGTATGAGACTAATCTATTATTTATTTATTTTTTTTGAAAGGAGAGACTAATCTATTATTAATTTAGGATGGTAAATTACAGGCTCAAATTTGGTTTTCTTTTTTCTCTACCTCTGAATTACCTGCTTAAGGCCTTGGATTCTCCTTTGTTTCTGAAATATTTGTGTGCTAGAAAAGTAGATATAATAACACATTATAATTTGCGTGCTTTCAGTTAGTTTTAAGATTTTTGATAGCTATTGTGTGTACATACAGGCTATCTTCAAGCCACCAAAAGCGATGCGAGGTGGAATTCCCATATGCTTTCCACAGGTACTGCAATATTCCCTATATGTTTGCAGTGAAAAGTGCACATCTGCACCAGTTTGGGAGATGGATTTTCATCCCTTGAGGGGATGCAATTTTACTTCTGAACTGGTGAAAAAATGAACGTTTTTAACTGTAAAACTTTGTCAGTTTGGAAATTGTGGAACATTGGAGCAGCATGGATTTGCAAGGAACAGGCTATGGGCCATAGATGATGAGGCTCCACCACTAAATCATAATGATAACAACGGCAAAGTTTCTGTTGACCTTCTGTTAAAGCCATCTGAAGATGATCTCAAATGTTGGCCACACTGGTATGATAACTTATTCTGGGGACATATATATTTAACTGTCCTTGAGTAGTTTGTCTGTTACAGCTAGGTGAGTAAAATGTCCAATTCTGGTTAGCTAGTGTGTCAGGGAGGTGGTTGGTTAAATAGCTCAGGCCATAAAGTAATAAGTACTTCTATGGGCCTTCGGTATAAAAATTTCTAAATGACTATTCATCAGAATAGACTGATTCTGTTGAATATAGCAACTGGGTAGAAATGAGAGAAACTACTTTTTGGATCAGAAACATTGGACAAACTAAATATTATATTGCTTCAGACCAAAGGTTTTTTAGTACCAAAGTAAATATTATACCAAATATATATTTTTATTACCAAGGAAATCTTAAGTCTAAATAGTGTACACCTGTTATTGATGTGGACAGGGATGTTCTGTGTGCAATAAGCTCAATACTTCAACCTCGAGCTATATTACATTAATTCTGTGATATATTTTATAAATATGATAGATGAACTTTCAAGGATTAATAAAAAAGAGTTTAGGGTTAGGCAGATGTTCTGTTTGATGAGATTTGAAACTGTAAATCTGAACTATTTCAAGCGTATAGTGGATGGAATGCTTTAGTAGTTTCATTGAGCATTTTGATATCTGCATATTCATTCCGGAAGATTTGTCATTTGTCTGATATACTTATTATAATGTGAATTCCAGCTTTGAATTCCGTCTCAGAGTTTCTCTTTCGACGGATGGAGATCTCTCGTTAGTATCACGAGTCAGGAATGTTAATGGGAAGCCATTCAGTTTTTCGTTTGCTTACCATACATATCTTTCAGTCTCTGACATCAGGTAAGGCATTGTTTGAGCAAATAAATCTTGTTGCTCACTGAATTTCATGTTATGTGCTTACCGCTGATGCTATACACTCTTTCGAGTTACAAATATTATTCCTTCTCAGTAGAATATAATAATAGCTTAAGGTATAGTACATATTTATGCCATAAGCAATTAGCATTTCCTTTTTTTTAGATAATGTAGCATAACATTTCCTGTCATCCATTGAAGCTGTACATCTCATGCTTTCACAATCAATAGAACATTTGGGGTTTTGTGATTTTCTGATGAACAATGTGCATAAGATGGTGTGCTGCACCTTTCTCATTGCAGTGAGGTGAGAATAGAAGGTCTGGAGACACTTGATTATCTTGACAACCTTAGCCAAAGAGAACGTTTTACAGAACAAGGAGATGCTATAACATTTGAGTCTGAGGTAAATTTTCACTATTTATATGTTTGTGTACTTACTCCAACTTTATAGGTCTTACATTTCTTTGGTAGAGATGGGTGTTGCATTTTGTCGGTATACTATAGCAAGCCTGCCTATACCGCGTGCTTGCATTTGAACACTAAATAGCTAATGATCTTGAATCTGAATTTGGTCAGTCCTTTCATCCTCAGTTGTGTGTTGTGAACTTCTGCACCAAAATGATGCGCATGACAACAGATTTACTGATTCATAAAAAGTAACCATGTTTACAGGTTGACAGAGTCTACGTTGGTTCCCCAAGCGTAATTGCTGTGCTTGACCATGAGAAGAAACGCACCTTCATTGTAAGGAAAGAAGGGCTTCCTGACGTCGGTAAGATGATTTCCTTCATGTACCACTCCAAACCAGTTTTAGCATTGTTAAGCCGGATGGATGAAAAATTACTTTCTGTCCTGGTAATCATAAATAAACAATGGGTTTCATGCTCTCTATCTTGGCTATCAGTTGTTTGGAACCCATGGGACAAGAAGTCGAAAACGATGGCGGATTTTGGCGACGAGGAGTACAAGCAGATGCTGTGTGTGGACGCTGCCGCAGTCGAGCGAGCCATCACGCTGAAGCCAGGCGAGGAGTGGACGGGGAAGCTGGAGCTGTCCGCCGTCGCTTCCACCAACTGCAGCGACCATCTGGACTACCCTTGTAGCTAGCTCCAGTGTTCCTATAATGCGTTCCAGTAGCTATATTCAGATGCTTAGTTTTGCCCCCCCTAAATCGAAAATCATGTACTACGTTTTTCCTTGTACATGGGAGTGTGTACTACGTTTTTCATTGTACAACATGGGGGCGCTAGCTAGGTCCGTCGTCTTGATCAGCCTGTTGCTGATCAGTCTACCCGTGTCATTTGTCAGATACTACTATATATTCAGATGCAAAGTTGTTGTGACAAGACTTCACTTGAGTTTTCTGAAAAAGTATTTGCCGTGAAGACCTTCTTTTGTACACAGCAACGTGACGGACACTACGGCTGGTAGCTACAAACAAAGTCTCAGCAAAAACAGGTTGACATTACAGGAGAACGTGGCGATCGTTGCAGATCGGCTTGGCCTCGAGGCCGCCGCCGTTGTTCCTCTCCCGCGCGGTGACGGTGTAGCCGGCGTGCGTGCCGAGCAGACGGTCCCAGACCACGAAGAACGGCTGCGAGAAGTTGCGCCGGCCGCCGCTGAGCTGGTGGTGCACGTCGTGGTAGGCCGTGTTGTTGGCGAACGCGGCGTGCAGCGGGTTCCAGGGCACCAGGAGGCCGCAGTGGTCGTCGATCCCCTTGACGGTGGCGAACGCGAGGAAGAAGGCCGCGGCGCGGGGGGGCAGGCCCGAGGCGAGGTACGCGGCGGCGCCGGAGAGCGCCTCCGTGAGCACGCCGTCCACGGGGTGGCCGTACTGCGCCGCGAACGCGTAGGGGGCCACGACGCGGTGGTGCCACGAGTGGAACCGACGGTACATGTACCGGCTCGAGTGCATCAGCCGGTGCGCGAAGTACTGCCACGCGTCCAGCACGAACATGGCCACCCCGAACCGCGCCGCCACGTCCAGTAGCGCCGCCGCCGCCGACGACGACGATGGCGCCGCTGCCGGGGCGCTCGCGTGACCGGCCTTGACGTCGCCGGCGCCACCGTCTTTCTCACTTGTCAGCTGCGTAAGATCGATAAAAGAAAGACAAGATCAATCAACCAGTTGTAACTAGGCAGCCTTGTAACTATCACGTATCACGAGCTGTGCTCTGCTCCACCGTGCGCACGCGTGTACAGAACCTGTAGTGTAGTTTAAGGGCCAAGGTTACTCTTGATCGATTAATGCGTTTTGTCAGGCAGGAGTGCAGGGTGATGCGAAGTTAGTGTTGCACTGTTGTTGTTCATCTTCTTGCCGGAAGAAGCTAGGCACTGCAGTCTGCAGATATGCCGATATGGGTGAATCAGGGGGTTCTTCTTAAACAATGCAGCCGTATCACCTACTGATGTGGGGTAGAAACCGCTAGAGCTAGCGACTGTACTCAGTGGTGTACCAGTATGCCGTCACGTCCATAATGCGACGGATTTGCTTTTTTTTTTTTCTTGCTCTCTGCATTATGGATAAACACAGTAATATTTTCCATCTACAGCAGGAGGTTCCAAACAAAGATCACTCAACAATCAAAAGCTAGCTAGCTGAACGTCGAGGGTTGTGAGACGACAAACCTTGAGCACGGCAAGTGAGATGGCGACCTGGATGGCCTGCTGCAGCAGCACGCCCTTCACCACCTCCTTCTTGGACGCCATGTTATTGCTCTCCTCGTCCCTCCTCGAGTGCAGCCTGTACCTGTCCAGAGCCCTGACGCTCCCCAACGCCTCGTAGATCCCCGAGTAGAGCCAGTACACGGCCACCGGCGCCAGCGTCACGGCGAGCTCCTCGCCGCTGATGAACCCCATCGTTGCAACTAGAAAGCTAGTGCTACAAAAAGCTTACGTGGAGAAACAACGAGAGAGATGGCTATGTGTGCTTCAACTCTCGGTACGACTCACACTGCCACTCTGCTTGCAGCTCTGTTGCTAGTAGGCCTTGGCGCGTCAACTCACGCTGCACTCGAGAGGGAGATATATAGGCTAGTGTGTTCTACTGTACAGTGGTGAATTTAGGATACAAATTAAGGGTGTGCTCACATAATAGAAATTATCTTAGCGGCAAAAGTAAATATACATATGCTTATCACTTTTCTAACTCAATTAATTAATACATAAATAAAACAAAAGAAATATGCATTGTTTAACCAAAGTATGATTTAAAACTATTTGTGCTGCGCATGGCCATATCAAAAGTTTAACCGTATAACCAAATTTCCGAATTATCTATTACTTTAGAGGTTTTTGAACATTACAATGAAAAATCAACCAAAATTAGTAAACTGGTAATCTCAACGTTAACAAATTGGGATCGATTATGTGATAGAATTATCAAACTACTAGTAAGAAGCAATCTGGCATATATTCTAGCTAATTAGTACTCACAGCTTTTTAAGTTTTCACCATTCTCATTGGCTATCAGTACTGTACTATGTTGCAAGGGATGATAGATTTGGCGGCAGAGCTGGGGCTTGAGCCCTGACAAGCCCCAACGATATATACGCCCCTGCTACTATACTATTTTGTTTATAGAACAAATGCAAACTAGTCCGATGTTTGATTTACTCCTCGGCAGTGTGAGTGCATGCAACAGATCGCCTGAAAAGTCGTGTGTAAGCATCGCCATATGTTTGACTTCCATTTGATCAAATCCAACCTGCAACTGCAAGACACATGGCTGCCATCCACTTCTCACACTAGCTTGTCAATTACTGCTCTTATTTTGGTCTCAAAAAAAAATTACTGCTCTTATTTCTTCAGCACAGATGTCACTAATCAATGTCATCATCCTCGCCTATTGGTTACCAGAGGCACCATCTTTCTTTCTTCCTTTTTCTTCTCTACTAGGTTCTGCTGAGATCATTTTCTCATCAATCCAGCCATTTTATCCATACTATCTTTCTACTAGGTTCTGTTGAGATCATTTTCTCATCAATCCAGCCATTCTATCTATACTATCTTTCTTTTATTTTAGAAAAATGTATTTTTTACCCGACCTAGAGACCCAACCGGATATATACAGTCTTTTAAATTGGAAACTTAGCTCCACAAATAAACCAACCTAAAATTCACTCGTAGGAAGATTCGAACTCTAATATTTCATGATGCTACCTAGGTCACTGCAATGACTAGATTACGTGCTCTTTCGCAACCCATACTGTCTTTCTACTTTGCGCGCGGTTAGGTGCGCCGGCCACCAGCCAACCACCTGACGCGGTGGCACGGTTGCACGCCTCCGGCCAAACGTCGTAACGTGCCCGGCGAATTCAGCTGACGCACCTCAACCGACGCCGGCGCGCGCGCCGTTGGACGCGAACAACGGCAAACCAACAGCTCGGCCGGCCTGAGAGCCGCGGGCCCAACGTAAGTTTTAGATGGGCTTAGTCCACAGAAAAAAGCCCAAGTAGTAACTCCCTCCCAGCCGCCGGCCCACCGCGCGAGGAGATCTCGCACGGCGAGTCGGCGACACGGCGACGTCGCGACTTCTTCTTCTTCCTCCTCCTCCTCCTCCTCACCTCGGCCGCTGCCCGTCGCTCGGCGAGCCGCCGGCCCGACGGCGCCGCACGCGCAGGGAGCACTCGACCGGCGCTCGCCTTGGACGAAGGCGCCGGTTAGCCGCGAGGCAGCCGCCCAGCGCTCGCGTTCCCCCCTCCTGATCCGTGGGGTTGCTCAGCGGGGCGCCGTGCCGGAGGAGATGCAGAGGCTGGGGGATTTCAGGCTCCCGCCCTTCTTCAACTACCCGCCTTACTTCACGTAATCCCTCCCCCCTCCCCCCCCCCCCTCGTTGCTCTCGCTCTCCCCCGTAACTTTTCCTCCCCAGCTTTCAGTTTTACAGAGGGACCCAAAGCTCTTCCCGTGGTGACAATAGGTTCAGTACAGATGTTTGTACAGTGTGATCTGTGAATTTGCGGTCTTTAGGAGGAAGAGGTGACCGTGGGATGTTGATTCGGTTAATTGGTTAGGATCTTTGCTTACTAGTGGTCCTTGGCATCGCCGGAATTTCCAGTTTTTAGGGCCTACAAGTGACTGGCTTGTTTGGCTCCCAGAGTTGCTTACGGAATCGTAACATCAGTATTTAGGGTACCGTACGATATGATCTTGTGAGTTAACTACTTAGCTAGCAACTCTAAATTTTGTTAGCTTTATTCATCTCTGCTGAGGGCAGATCGTCCCCTGTTTTATAGTGATTCTTTTTCGCGAACGCGTTTTATAGTGATTCTTGAGACCACCTTATCAATAAGGTGTAATGAAAATTTCTAGAACTTAACAAGTTAACAACTAACTTGTTGCAAGTGAAGAACACAATATGCACCTTTTGATTCTAAGTATGCCTTTGCCCAAGTGTATGTTCACAATGTCACACTGCATGGAACACTTCTACTTAGAACGGCAGTACTTGATAATTGGATTTGATATCTTGCAAGTGTATGCTTATGTTCTTATCTTGTTGGCACTAGATGTAGATATCTTATGTCTTGGCTTTATAATTAAATTTCATTATATATGTTAAGATCTGGATACCTGGTATATCTTGTGTTTCAACAGGTTTGTATCAGTTGAACCATTTTCTTGCTTTCATCTTCTTGCATTTTATGATATTCACAACCACAATCTTTTGGATTATTCTACAGAAAAACCTCTGACTTCTGTTAAAACTTTCTTTAACAATTCGGTCAAACAACACAACTGAGATTGGTAGCATGACAATTTGTGTCTCTCAGATTGCAGCCTGTGCGAGAAACACGTGAAAAGCAAGTGCAGCTGTGGAAAGATCTGATACTTGATTATTGTAGAAGTCAAAAGCTATATATAATCTCCCTAGAAGAAGATTTCCCATTGTTCTCCAATCCAAAGATCGAGAGTAAGATTTACCTATCTTAATCTTACATACTAGTTTCTTCTGTTATTCATAAAAAAAAATGTGTCGCAGTAGCTAATCATCAAACTGTTTGGTTCGTTAAAAAAAAAAAAACTCAGCAACGAGGCATGACTGCAATGCACTCAAAGGGCTATGGAGGCTTTGAGTACATAAGAACAAAATAATTGTACTTGATTAGCTCGTTACACTCTTACCTGTTGCACTGAATTCACATAAATTGTTCTCTTCTGCAGGATCTCTTAGCCATGAAGCAAAGGAAGTATTCCTTGCTGCTCTTGTTTATGAAGGTCCATTTTACCATTAAATCTCTTATCTTTTATCACAGCTATAGTAATTCTGTGCATTACAAAATCATTTGTTTGATGCTCTGCACCTTCTTAAATCTATGTTGAAACTGCATGCAGGACGTGCAGAATGGATGGACAAAGGTCATAAGAAGTGCCTCATTCTTTGGTTGCGGATACAAGATTGGGCTAACTACATATTAAATTTTGTACGATTGTTTTATATTCGGCATTTGTTTAGGCGCTATCTATTAATTATTTGTGAACAATACATAGTGGCATTGTCTTCATTGTGTCATAATATTTCTCTCTACCCTGTGTTTGTAGGTAAAGGATAATGGGCTGGAAGATAGTGTAATGACTGTTGAAGAAATACGTTCAGGAATTGAAACACGTGGGACTGGTAATCTGCAAACCTCAGAATCATGGCACTAAATTTTCCTTTTCTCCAACTGTCAATATTGTGTGTCTCAAAGCATATTTTCTATCCTGAAAACAATTTTGTGGTGGAAACCTAATAACCTATGGTAGGGGTACTAATATTGTAGTTGGTTTTTGTATTTTGGCTTGATGTTTCACTTGTACGTCGGTATTTTGAACAAAGGTAGTCTCTGGATGGATGGGACACTGCAAAGCCATTAATTAAGACAGACGATTAATCAGTGTTTAATGGACAGCTAACGTCTCAAATACTGTTCATACCGAAAATTAATCAATAAGGTATTTGTCAAAAAGATTGATAAATTGTGACTAAGCAAGCATGAGTTGTGTGCCAAACATTTCATTATTTATAAGTTTTGTTGACCGACATTGTTAGGACACTCCAGCGAACGCTATTCAACACAATTTAGCCTCTGTGACCAACTAATTGGCTGTTTTTCAGAACACCCATATACATTAATTGGTTTTTGTACTTCTTCTTCTTCATCATCATCATCCAATAAAGATGTTTCTGGCCTGTTAAAAGTGGCCTGTTAAAAGTGTGAGGCTTAAATTGATTTATCTATATCTATCTATACTACTAGTGGTGGTGTCTGTTCTGCCACATCACCTCTGTTGTCTCTCACAATCTATACTATTACACCACCCTCCACCCTACTTCATCGTTGGCTCTCACAATCTATACTATTACACCACCCTCCACCCTACTTTCACTGTTGGCTTTCTCCAAATTTCGAAAATACCTACTTGTCCAATAAGGAAAATCATAAAAGTACTACTTGAACTAAATATGTCCTTAATTGGCTTAATAAGCTTGAAACATAATTTATTTTCCGTTGGGCTCTTGGATAGTTTTATGATACGACCTCTGTTGCAGAACTTGCCGGAATTGACCGTGGTGTTCTCATGAGGGCTTTGAAGTTACTGGAACAGAAGGGCAAAGCAGCGATTTTTAAGGGCACTTCAGCTGATGATGAAGGTGTAAAATTTTCGGCTTAGTGTCTGGGGCCTGTGTGGCAGATCAATTATCCTGACCAGCATCTTTGAATGACGAGAATTCTTGCCAACCAGGACGCTGATCACGTCCTCCCCAAACATATTTATCTGCCTTACTGTTCACTGCTGCTGCTGTTAAATGCCATGTTGGCCTGTCCATCTTTGACTGAAAAAACACTGTAATCAGAACTTAATTCATTTCCACAAGCATACCTACAAAACCCTCCTGTTGTTGTGTGATAAAACTAGGAACTTGTCTTGCATCTCATGCAAATAAATTTTCTATTTAATCAGGTCTATTTAGAAAGCAACAGCCAAGCATTGGCAGACCTTTATTGGAGAGTACCTAGTACTAAGTACTGTACTACCTATGGATTACGATCACTTCAGGAAGATGCAAAAGAAAACCCAAACCCAACCAAGGAGCTTTCATTTTCCCAACTAAAGCACTCCGTATTGGTGAGCACCACAAGTCCGTAACTCGAGAAACTTCTGAGAACCAAATTCTTAAATCTTTCGGTTCACACTACCAAACAGAAACTGGGATCCACAAATCCAATTTGTGGCAAAAACACGCAAGAATTCGATCCTCTCGATCCTGCCACTGACATGTAGACCACGAGGAATCAATCATCAGTCGGCGAAGGCCCATCAACAGAATCTGTGGGTACAGCAAGCCATTTCAACGCTTTTATTTTTTTGATCACCACGATGAAAAACGCGGCCGGCTAACCGGTCAACCACTACCGTTTTTGACGTCAATTTCAATGCTCGGAATGCTATACAGTCAGGTACAATGCATACATCTCTACTACCTGCATCTCCATCTCAAATCAAATCGAATTTTTTATTTAAGAAGAGAAGGAAAAAGAAAAAGAGGAGAATAATTGTTCTGTTCATGAGCAGCCACTAATATGAAAGGGGGAGTTAGTGGATGGCATTTGATTTTGATTTGATCGATACCATTCCGCTTTCACCTGCCGTTGTTGATCAGCCATGGCATCACTAAAGTAAAGGCCCCCAGGAACCGATGATTTGGTGAAAGGAATAAACAAAACCAGCACGCAAACCTGTGGTAGCAAGTGGGGGGAGTTCTTTGACATATATACCCCTCCTTCCTCTTGGTTCCTTTCCCCCAACTCCATTATTGATTCTTGCAAGGAGGAAGAGCAGCTAGAGGCGAGGCAAGAAAAGAAGTGAAATCTCTCCGTTAGACAGGTTTGTTTTCCTGCGAGTGCTCTCTAATTTGCACTGATTAAGCTTTGATGATGCTTGATTTGTGGTTTGATTGTTCTTCTTGTTGTTGGAGATAGGAAGAGGAAAAGCAAGGGGGAATTGGGGATGGCGTCAAAGAGGATACAGAAGGAGCTCAAGGATCTGCAGAAGGATCCCCCTACATCATGCAGTGCAGGTCTTGCTTTCTTTCTTTTGCTTGCTTCTTTTGGGCGTGGATTTTGCAGTTCTAGGCCATACATCTTGCACAGGAGTCAGATTTTTGTACATGTGCTTCTGAATGACTTCTTTGTCCACGTGCTTGCTGCTTTGCCGTAGAATAGCAATGGAAAATTGCTCTCCAATTTGTCATATACATCAAAGGGGCTTAGCTTAGCAGTATCTGGAGTAACTCTCTGTACTCAGCTTTGCCCCAGCAAAAGAGGGGAAAGACAGATCACTGTATGATTAGAGTTTTCATCTTATGAAGATTACGGATGGAGGTTTTATATATATATCGATTAAGATTAATACGGCAGAGTTTGTCTGAACGTACTCATGCAGGGATTAGTTTATGCTATTATGATTGACAGGGATACTATATTTGCCCTGATGAATTCTGGTAGAATTACTTCCCTTTCCATGGCGGATATAGGCTGGTGTTGTTGTTATTGTTGTGATTTAGTCTACTTTACAAACTAAATCTCACCATCCAAGTATGCTCAAGAAGTGTCAATTAACTGAGCTGAATATTGCATATAGGGTGCTGTGCGATTTGTATTCTGAAATGTAAATGTTACCTGTCAAGTGCTTTGTCAAAGGAGTTGCTGGTGTGGTACTATAAATACCATGAGTATCAAATCGGACTATTCCTTCTAATTTAGCTCATCATTTACTAATATAGCATAAAACAATGGAAATGTAGTTCAGTATAGAAAAGTGATTAGCTTGCCTTATTCGAGAGAAAACTAGTTGGTTGTCTAGTTGTTATTCTTCATCTTTGTTTCCAATGATCCAGGAGAACTTTTATACCAAAACAACTGCATCCATGCTGCATCTTTGTTTCTAGAACCCAGGATCTGTCAGACCTGTCATCCTGTCCATTGGTCAGTTCATATGCTTTTATCTTTTGTAGTGGTTCTACTAGTTTTTAAAATTTATAGCAGGGCCCAAAATATTCAATAGAATAAACTTAATTTGTTAGACTACTTGTATGAACTTTCTTCGCCTTATGGACAGGTGGCCTTCACTCTTGCACTTTAAACTTCGTTCAACTAGTTGGATCGCATGTGCCATGGCGGCCACGCTTACACATTGGAAACATAAGTACTATTTAGTGTGGCTAGAATAAGTTTGGTCCTTTGAGCTTGGAGCTCACCCTGTCCATACCTGTAAGAAGTGACAATTTCATGTTGTCTAGTTGTATACCATTAAGCGAAAATGGTAACATACTGTTATTTTGTCAAAGGAATGTCTTCCAATTTTCCTTGGGGTCAAGAAAAACCAACCTGAGCTTAACTGTGCACATAACAATGGATACTTGTCTTTTGTCCTTCAGCCTACTTCTGTTTTGTTTGACCCTGTTTCAATACCCTTATTTATCATGCAATTTCATCTCTAATCAAAGCTGTAGAGCTAGACCATATGCCCATAATATGATATGGTTATCAGGCAATGGATAGTAGCCTAGGACTGCACCTAGCCACATTTCTTAACAGTGATGATTTATTACTATTTGACAGGTCCTGTTGGTGAAGACATGTTCCACTGGCAGGCAACGATAATGGGTCCATCTGATAGCCCATATGCTGGTGGAGTTTTCCTAGTTACCATCCACTTCCCTCCTGATTATCCCTTCAAACCACCCAAGGTACTTGGCAGTGACTTATCACTCCCTTTTTATCTGTCCACTATTCCTAGTCATATATATCTTCTTACTGCTGTTTTGTAAAACTGTAACCCTATTCCTCTGCTCATTTCACATATAAAAATAGAACTCTGGCAGATGCTATAATTTGTGGTTGATTGAATTGGTGCTTTATTCATATTTTTTATTCTATTCTAAAGCATTCAAGGGATTGAGAACGTGGTATAAATTATAAAGTTCATGCTGAAGTTGTGCACAAGAGCAACTGGTGGCATGTCATGCCAGTAACTAACTTGTTGAAAACATACAGGTTTAGACTTTAGAATGAACTTAAAATCAAAGCCACTTATGAACCTGATTCTTGAAGATCAAATTTTGGGAAATCAAGGTGGATAAATATTGCAAGTTACGGCTGTAGTCATGCAAAAGTGAAAGCATAGCTGCTGTCTAATAATGCTAATTCAGTTATGTTGCCAGTGTTCTCGAATCTTTGTAGTATATAACAAAGTTGTTTCCTGGACTGTGCTATATAACCGAATAATGGTTTGGTAGTGATTGTCTTCTCACTTATCACTAAGGTGTTCTTTTACTTCATTCTGAAAGAATATCACTTCAATTATAAATTCTTATGGTTTCTGGTTTTCAGTCTGAATATCCATTAAGTTCTATAGCTTTACAACAGCACCGAGACTGACTGAAGAATGTGACGTCTATGATATGCAATATGCAGGTGGCGTTTCGCACCAAGGTTTTCCATCCAAACATCAACAGCAACGGGAGCATTTGCCTTGACATCCTTAAGGACCAATGGAGCCCAGCACTAACCATTTCCAAGGTTTCCTTTCTCGCTTAACGCTATTTTCCTTTTGCGAGGCGGTTGCTTGGTCTCTCGCAGTTGGGCTGAACGAATCCCGCAAAAACATGTGCTCTCTGCTTGCTTTCAGGTGTTGCTGTCAATCTGTTCCCTGCTGACTGATCCGAACCCTGATGATCCTCTGGTCCCTGAGATCGCCCACATGTACAAGACAGATAGGCACAAGTACGAGAACACAGCAAGGACCTGGACTCAGAGGTACGCCATGTAGCACCTCAGATATCGATGGACATGTCGATGTTGTAACAACATTATCAACGGGTGTGTCTCCCTCTCGCCTTGTGTGGTGTAAGGATCAAAACCGGCTTTGCAGTGCACTCTTGGTGTTGCTCCATTGTGTCACTCACTCATTGCAGTGATTTCGAATAGTATCAAACTGGTGGTTTTTTTCGGTCAGATAATGTTTGCAACTTGCCAACAAGTCAGTGCTTCCAAATGCAGTGGTTCCTTGAATCTTGGCCCTCCAAGATGCAAATAACCAAGTTCATAGCTCGATTGACTTTTTTTTCTTGTTCCCTTTTGCTTTTTGCATACGTTGAATGGATTGAACACGCTACTGATAATAACTAAACAGCTTACACAGATGTCCAATGGAATAGCCACATAACCTCGCACTGACGATAGTTTGCGCATCTACATTCAAATTACACAGATGTCAACTTGAGCAAGCATTGATTCTGAAAGTATAAGCCCACTCCAGTATGTTGACGTTCAAAGTGAGGAGGAAGAACACGGAGCTAGCACTCCTTGTTCATGGCCTTAAGTGCTATGCTTCCTATCGATGGAGCCATAAGTACTACACATAAACTTTGAGCCTGTGTTCTCTCTATGGCAAAATGTTTCACCAAACACAACCCGGTCAACCAAAATGTACAGGAGATGTCTGTCTATCAAGGTATTGACTACTTCCTCCGTTTCACAATGTAAGTTATTCTAGCATTTCTTATATTCATATTGATGTTAATGAATCTAGATAGATATATATGTTTAGATTCATTAATATCAATATGAATATGAGAAATGCTAGAATGACTTACATTGTGAAACAGAGGGAGTAGTTAATTCTCAAGCATATCTGAAGAGAGGCTGAAACTGTAGGATCGAACAGCAAGAACTAAGCCAACCCGGGAGGGGGGGTGAATAGTTGTAGTACCTAAAAATCAAAACTTTTAGCGGAATTAAAAGTTTCTCGAATCGATGTCGATCGGTCTGATTGGAGTTGATCAGCAAGGTAACTAAAGTTGATCAGCTGTGCATATGTGAGGAGGAGGGCAAGGTGGAGGGAAGTTTGTTTTTCTATTCTCTTCTAAATGATTTAAGTAAAAACTGATGATCCGATGTTTTGATTGTTTTTCTCTGAACTTCTAATATATTTTTTCTAATTTTTATGATGTAACACATGACGGCTTAAGATTTTTCTAAAAGTAGATCTAATGGTTGAAAATAATGGATTCACCGATTTAAAAGGAAATCGATGGCCTGTAGCTTCTAATTTTTTTAAAAAATAAATTTAAGACGTAACATGTGATGACCAGAGCTCTATAGAGGATGTAGAATGATTAAGATGATGTAATAGTTATCGTCTATGTTTTTCATGTTTCATTCTTGTTGCTATTTGGTTGCCATGCAAAGGATAGGGGTTTTGAAATGATGTATTTTTATTTTTATATAGTGAAACATGGTAATATAGGTCTCAAATTATTTATTTAATTATACATAAAACAACAGTTCAAACAAACAAAACTTGGAGATAACTTAAGAATTATAATCATTTAGCTTTATAGTTATTGATATATTGTTTTTTATTAGACTGTTAATTCAAAGTTAGGAGAGGAAGAAATTAACAAGGAGAGGAGGGAAGGGAATTGTCGAACGGGAGATAGTATGTGTGCATATAATTGTAAGATTTTTACATGTTTAAGGGGTTGTAATAACTATTACACTTATTAACTACAAATAGAATAAAAAAATTATTGATTGATTAATACTTATCTTTTCCTACAATAAGAAACATGAATATTTTTATCATTGTAGATCTAATTAATTATTGTGATGTCAAGTACGATGACAAAATCTATATAGTTATTTTTTTCGTAATTTTTATAATTGCTCGAATGACATGCAAAGTTAGAAAATATGGCCCCAACAGTTACATATTTCCTTTGAAAGGTTAATTATAATTAATATATGTCTCTAATTGTAAATTTAGTCATAAATAATCTAAACAACATAAACGGATAAAAAAATTCCTATATGATTTAGATGCTGTAGTTGCTTAAATTTCTTTTACAAAAATTTTGCTGGAGTATCGACATCCCCCTAACATATGTCACAATCCTTTTTTTTTTCCCTGTTGGCTTATGTTAAGTATAGAGTATAGATCATGTCTTTGTCATGCTACCTTCGGGGAGATGGTGTTTTTACCACAGGGAGGAATCGGAGGAAAAAGATGATGATGTGAATAGGAGGGTACAAAGTACATATGTACGTCTGCCCCTACAGCTTAGGGTGGGGCTGGGTTGAGAGCTAGATTTTTTTTCGTAAGATAGGTCTAATGGTTGTAAATAATGGATCCATGAGATTTAATAAAATCCAACGGTTCTTTTTTTTTTTTAGAATTTATAGGATTTTTTTCTAATTTATTAGAGTGCCACCTGACAACTTAGGAGCTTATGTATGAGTGCCATTTGGCAGTTGAAGAGTGTTTGTAGGAATGAAGTTTAATGAACTTTTAATATATAAATAGATGATATAAACGGTACAGTCAATGATCAGAAGAAAACACTCTAGATTCATCAACTGAACTTACATACCCAAATGAGCATAGAAGCATATGTAACTAGGAGAGAGCTTCTAATAAGCTTATTTGATCATAGAGATGTAAATTATAGGGTATTTGCTTGCCAAAGATTCATCCCAAATCCAAGTACTTATTTTGCCATTACTATTTGTTTGAAAAAAAGTACAAAAGTTTTCTAAATCTTCAAGTCGGTCCAAAAATATTGGGTTATAGCAAAGTTGCTTACCTTAATGTTACTTTCTTATGTGTTTTTAAACAATAAATTTCATTTTCCATAGCCTCGATGATTACAAAAAGTTAGCTCTAAAATTAACTTAGCCCACCTTCCGATTATTGCAAAAAGTCAGCTCTAAGATTACCTTAGTCCAACATTTGCAATGTAATGAACAAAATGTTATATAGCAGCTTAAACATAGTATCTCTACAATTAATAAAAGTCTGAATACTTATATTATACGATTCAATCTTTTGTCTTAGATAATACTCTTTAGATCTAATTTTGACAGCTAAATATGTTTCATTTTTTTCTATACGACTGAACTAGTTGTAGCAACCTTTAGTTTTAGGTTTAATTTTAAATATAATTCATCACAATCTAATTAAATAAGATTAAAAAAAGATATTTTTAACAGTTTATGCACCCATCTGGAATGATGTGATCTATTATGCTCAACAACATCTTTATTTTGATTACTATATAAATAATTGAAATAATTAGACTAAGAAGCTGAATTGCTTATATATACAATTAATTATGTATGAAAACAAATATTTTTTTTTATTAATATGTGGATTAGAAAACTCAATTGTTTTCTTTAATAAGTTTGTATCGTTGAGTTGTGGCTTAAAAAATCTCGAGACAGTCATCAAACCGATTACCTATTTTGTTTCAATCTCCTATTCATCTTGTCTGTTTGCACCGCGTCGATTAAAATATAAGTCAAAACTAAAACTTTTAAAAAATAATCATATGCCCTCTTCTTCCTCATAATACCAATGGCTTTGTTACTGTCATACTTTAAAAAACACATCGGCTCGGCTCCGAAGGGCTTGGCTGTAGCTCCAAAGGAAGGGCTCGGCTCCAAAGGAAGGGCTTGGCTATAGCTGCAAAGGAAGGGCTTGGCGGTAGCAGGACATCGGATCGGGGACGCACCGCAGAGAATTTTATCCCAATAGAACTGCATGTGTAATTGTTTTGGTTGTTGCAAAATCTCTTAAATTTTGAACGCACATCTAACTAACATGAACTAACTATCCTATTTTTTATAGCTCTTCCTACATGTATATATTCACGTATGGTTACAACAAGCTACGATCATCACTTCATATTCGTAGTGGCGGCGATGGAGTTGCCAGGGAAGAAGAGGGCAGAGGAATCGTGGTTGGAGAAGGAACGGCTCTGGAGGAATATCGTGCTATCGATGGAGTTGGAGTGGGCTGGATATAGGCCCAATATCGGTGTACTAAAATACCCTTGATTAAGTGCTAATCCTATTTTTAATCTCAGCTACTGATGATCTTTAATTTTCGTGCAACTTTTTTTAGAGCACATAAACATCCCATAATTTTATAGTTTTTAAAAGCCACGTCACTCACTACCCTTGCTCATTTGTCACCTTTTTATTTTCTTACTCGATCTACCACTAATTCTATTCATTCTCTTTAGAACTTTAAAAATTAGGCCTTATAGTTTTTCGAGCTCATTGTTTTGTTGGGTTTCGTTTTCATAATTTTTTAGAAGTATCGTCAAACATCGCCAATTTACTACTCTATGGACCGTCCGCTGCCACCTCCCTTTATTGTCATTCGATTTTAAAAATCGAACATAATTATTGTTTTTGTTTTTTTACTTTCTATATGTCTCGCCAAATTGTTAGTGGCTTCGCCACTATATTCCTCTACAGCCTGCCTGCTGCCTCCCCTCCTTATTGTTATTGAGATTTTAAAAATCAAACATGATTATCATTGGGGTTTATTTTTACGCTCGATAAGTCCCGCCAACCGTCGTGACCAAGCTGCTTAACGACATACCCATTGTCACTCCTCTTAATCATCATTGGGATTCTATTTGGGGTTTTGATTATAGTTTTTAGATATCCCATCAACCACTAGTACTCTACTCCTTTATAGGCTTATTGCTTCTTCCCTCTTTATTGTCATTTGTCATCGTTGTGTTCTAGATTGACTTTTTTTTTTGAAAATTGCATATCTTTCATTCCGATATTTTTAATTCATAAATTATATTCCTACTTGAACTCTTATAATTATTTTTCTATTTTTAAAATTTATTTTATTTGTTATTTTTGAACTTCAATTAATCTTGTCATGTGTTCTAGATTCTCTTATTTCAATAGTATTTATTTTTTTATTACAAATTTTAGTTATTTATAAATTTTATTCTACTTGAGCTCTTATGTTTATTTTTCTATTTTCTGAATTTATTTTATTTTTTATTTCGAATTTTAATTAATATCGTATTGTGTTCTATATAGACTATTCTTTTGATATTTCTTAATTTTATTTCCAATTTAAATTGTTTAAAAATTTTATTCCAACATGAACTCTGTTTTTTATTTTTTTCTGTTTTTTTATTTTA